GCCAAGTAGGCTGCCACATGTCAAATTTCTGGGAGTTTGACTCCGGTGAGATGACACCTTATGGTAAGATGACATGTTTCAGTCAGATGACGCTGGAGCTCACCACTGATCATTGCAAAGCTCACCATTGATCACTGCAAAGCTCACCACTGTCCACTGCAAAGCTCACCATGATTTTCCAACACTTTACTTTTTTTTCTTCAAAATTTGATGGTTAAATGCTTACAAAGCCCAGCAACAAAGCTCACTGATTATCATTGCAAAGCTCACCGAGTATGTGCACAAAGCTCACCACACTTTAAAGTTTAAAATGATTTCAAAAAAACAAAGGGCGGTGGTGCTGACTTCCAACCGCTGCAGACTACCGCCGTGGACCAGTGGTTGACTGGTGGGGCAATTTTATTAGCTTGTTTTAAAAAAAAGTGGTGAGCTTTGCATTGTTCATTGGTGAGCTTTCTATTGACAGTTGGTGAGCTTTGCATTGATAGTTGGTGAGCTTTACATTCTGACCGCCCATGACCAATGGCCACCACCGATGACCCCCACTGTTGCCGTGGACCAGTGGTTGAGCGGTGGTTGAGTGGTGGTTGAGTGGTGGTTCTATTTTTTTAATTTTTTTTATTTAAAAAACGTGGTGAGCTTTGCATTGAAAGTTGGTGAGCTTTGCATTGGCAGTTGGTGAACTTTGCATTGGCAGTTGGTGAGAATGCAATCTTAGGAGAGAAATGAGAATGAATCTGGTGAGAATGCAATATATAGATTTTGGTTCTGGTGATATTTTGGTTCTGGTGAGAACTTTGCATTGGCAGTTGGTGAGAATGCAATCTTAGGAGAGAAATGAGAATGAATCTGGTGAGAATGCAATATATAGATTTTGGTTCTGGTGATATTTTGGTTCTGGTGAGAACTTTGCATTGGCAGTTGGTGAGAATGCAATATATAGATTTTGGTTCTGGTGAGAATGCAATCTTAGGAGAGAAATGAGAATGAATCTGGTGCTTTAGATTGTGCGATCTAAGGGTCAAGATTGCATCAAAATTAAGTGCAACAAAATGGTTTGAAAATGCATCACGTCGAAATGCATCATAATCCTTTGAAAATGCACTATCTCAAAATCTGAGCGCAGGATGCAATCAGAGCCGCACGATGCATCAGATCCAATGGCTAGATTTCATTCTCATTTCTCTCCACAAGGTGCATTCTTACAGGAACCGGCCCCTATATATATATATATATATATATATATATATATATATATATATATATATATATATATATATATATATATATATATATATATGTATGTATGTATGTATGTATGTATGTATGTATGTATGTATGAGTAAATTCCAAAATTGGTCCTTTATAACAGGGGGTTTCCATATTTAGTCCTCTATTATCAAATATTACCTTTGTAGTCCTTTTTTTGAGGGTGCCTTTCCACAAATGGTCCTTTTTTTGATCCCCCCCTGTTATAAAAGACTAATTATGGAATTTACTCTATATGTATATGTATATGTGTGTCTATATATATATATATCTATATATATATATATATACATATACATATATATATATATATATATACATATACATACATACATATATATATATATATATATATATATATATATATATATATATATATATATATATATATATAGATTTTGGTTCAAATAAGAATAGGATCTAATGAAAGAAATAAGAATTTATCTCAACCGTTGGATCTACTGCTGGATTACTATGCCTTCCAGGACGTGAGATGGGCACATCGGTAAATTTAGTATTAAAGCGTAGATCTCGCGATCTCAATCCATTCACCGATCCGATAAACCTGCATGAGATGGCCTTTCTCCTCGCTTGCCCTCTTCCTTCAATAACTTGTTCAATCAAAATTGGCTTCTAATCTGATCATTTTTCTTATAGGGTTCATATATAAAAACAACATGTAAGTCTTCTTCTCTGTACAAGAATTCTTTCTCTGTTATTCGTGAGAAACCATATCTGATTGAAGTTAGACAGGTTTGATTTTTCAATTCATTTCTTTTTCTGTTCAATTTAATCTTGTATGTTCAATCTCTGATATTCACTTATTTGTTTTGACATAAAATGGGTTAATTTCCATATTCATTTGTTCATCCCTTCAATTTAGTTTAGTATTTTCAATCTCCGTTGTTCAATTATTATTTATTTTGCCTTGCCTTAACTTTGTTGTTTGGTGCAAGGAAAAAGTAAACAACACTGTC